TTAAAGCATGCATATCATAACCATCATAACGTAAAGTTCTATCATCGCGTTTATCAAATTAAAACATGCAAACTTCACCCAAAAGACATCACTTCAAACACAATGTTTGACCCAAAATCACCACAAACATAGCATGTATATGTTCTGGATCGAGCCAACCAATGGGATGCACCACCACTCCCTCGGCCACCACCACTCAAATGAGATCCTCGGCGAAGAAATCAACTCCACCATCCTCTCGGCCACCACCACCCCCTCGGCCACCACCATCAACACCATCACCGCACCACCCCCTCGGCCACCTCCATCAACACCAACACCGCCACCACCCCCTCGACCACCACCAACATTCCGAAGAGGGGCTTCCAAGATCTCTCCGCGAGTGAGCTCCCAATACTTTCTTGCAGTTTCGTCTATTGTGCTTGGATTCATGAACATGATAACACGTTCTTCGGCCTTCTTGGCATCACAAATCCTCTCCTCCTTAAGTGCAAGCCTACGCTCCTCCGCCTTCAACTTTCTATTTTTGGCCGCCAATTTGGCCTTCCATTTCTCATTCTCCAACACCCTTGGCTCATTCCACCTTGCCATCTTCTCTTCTTTGCCCTCAACCTCCAACACCTTATTGGTCTCGATCATTGCAACAAGTTCTTCTTTGTAAGTGCCACCAAATAATTTCTCTTCTTTCTTTCTTTCTTTTGCAATCTTGTTTCCTTCCGGTCTATTGTTGGCATCTTCGTCAACTTCGTCGTCATTCTCAATGGATATGCTCAACCTTGATCTCTTTGGAGTGGTCTCTGCGATTCTTTGGATCCACTTCTCGTTTTTGCATAGCTCTTTATAGCAATGGTGCAACGTGAAGGGCTTGTGACCGAACTTGGTGTTTCTATGTTTGAATAGTTCTTGGATGTCGGGGGCATACTCCACCACTTGCACACTACTCGGCGGCACATGACTCACTTGGTTGATGCACCCAGACCATTGGTGGCATTGATCATGAATGGTGCTCCAACAATGCCTAAGAGAACCTTGCGTACAACTTGATCGCACATCGACGAAGTTGTTGTAGTGCTCAATAATTCTCTCCCAAAACATGGTTTTGGTTTGGTCCGTTCCGATCGTTGGATACATGAAGATTGTGCACCAAGCATCGCAAAGAGCAATATCCTCCTTTAGGTTGTCATTTTGGGTGCGGCACCTTGGCACCTTCGTGCCTGCTTCGGTTACTGAAAGTGCGTTATATCGACTAGATGGGGGAGGGGTGAATAGGCGATTTTTACAAATTCATCACTGAGGAAATACAACTTGAGGAATTTGCTGAGTGACGAACTACTAGCAGCGGAATAAGTACTAAGGTGCAAGCATAACATGGCAGTAACACAGTCATCATGATGATATGAAACAAGCACAGAGCACAGGTAGCGTGTAAACAGGATAAGCAGGCTGAAGATAAGAAGACTGAAGAATTAGGATTGAGGAAATTGAGAAAGTCTTCAATCAAAGTCTTCAAATAGTAACGATCAATTTCATCAACACATGAGTGAGGAAATGAAAGGGTAGAACCAGTAGCTCGGTGAAGATAGTGATTTGGTAGACCAGTTCCAACTGATGTGACAGTTGTACGTCTGGTTGGAGTGGCTAGGTATTTAAACCTAAGGACACACAGTCATCACCGTATTCTTCTTGAGCTAAGGTCACACATACCTCGTCCAATCACTCGTGGTAAGTCTTCACAGGTGACTTCAAACCTTCACAAACTTGGTCACTCGGCGATCCACAATTCCTCTTGGATACTCTAGACCACGATGCCTAACCGTCTAGAAGATGCATAGTCTTCAAAGGTAACAAGCGTCGGTTCCACATGGGGGACAATCTCTTCAGTGATGCTCAATCACTTTGGGTTTTAGGTGTTTGGGTTTGAGTTTTTCCTCGCTTGATAATTTTTGCTCAAAGTCCTCGCAGGATGGGATGCTCTCAATGACAAGTGTTAGTTTCTCTCGGAGCAGCCAACCAACTAGTGGTTGTAGGGGGCGCCTATTTATAGCCGGGGAGCAGTCCGACATGATAAAACATAAATGCCCTCCAATGATATGACCGTTAGGTGGATAAGATATTTGGGACAGCTGGCGCGTAGCACAACAACGATCAGAAATTTGAGCTCTCAAATTCCTCGGGGCTATCATGTTCCTCACTTGTAGGCAATCCGCACTGGTGAATTCCTAACTCCTCAATCACACCAAGTTCCTCAGAGAACAGAAGATCTTCGTCTCTGTCACTGAAGAAATTGACTGAACTATATGAGATTTCCAATGGCTTCACTCGAAAGGATTGGATATGTGTAGCCTTTGAGATGAGCATCACTTGGAAACTTTTTCTTAGTTTTACCTCGACCCCCTTTAACAGTATGGTGTTTCCTATGACTCAAGAAAGAGAAATAAAACTACGAAAACAAAGTCTTCACGCTTCATAATCCTCGCATCAATATCGAAGTCTTGAAGGTCACACCAATTTCCTCATTTTCAAAGTCTTCAAGAAAACCAAAGTCTTCAACTGAAGAAATTCATTTTTAGGGGTCGACTTTCTTCGTAAATATCAAACTCCTCATAGACTTATAAAACATGTGTACACTCACAAACACATTAGTTCCTTAACATATAAGTCTTCAATACACCAAAATCACTAAGAGGCACTAGATGCACTTACAATTACCTCCGCAACCTCCTCTTCCTCGGCCACCACCTCTTCGGCCTCCACCTCTTCGGTCTCCTCCTCTTCCCCGGTCACCTCTTGCTCCATGTCTTGGATGGCCTCCAAATGATCCCAAAACGAGTTGTAGTTGAGCTCGTCAAGTCCAACGGCGGGCGAGGACTCCAAGGAGGCGAGGAATTTGACCGTATTCATCTTTGCACTACAATAAACAAAGCAAACACTACCAACAATCACTATCGGATACCAACAAGACACAAGGTTTTTCTTTTTACCTTGTAGGAATTTCATCGAGCACTTTGGCGACCGCGATGCTTGTTGCCGGCTGAAGCCGCCGCCCGTGCCGGAGCAGTGGCCGTAGGGGCCGCCGGAGTTGCAGCACAAGGTGCTGGCCTAGGACGAGGCACCGCTTTGGCCTCTTCATCTTCTTTTCCGTGGCTGCCTCGGCGAGCGCCGCCATCGCCATCGGCTTTCGAGCTCGTTTGGCTCCGGCGCGTGCGGCAGGAGGGTGGCGGGCCGTTGTCGGAAAGGCAGTGGCCACCTTGGAGGCCATTGGAGCGGTTGGAGGAGCTTGGACGCTATGGGTCATTTTCATCCCCAAACTCTCCTTCGGCGCGGGCAGCAACACGTGGGTGATTTCCGGCGACGAAAAGCCAGCGGCGATGGCTGGCGAGGTGAGGGAAGAGGCTGGGCTATCCATTCCGGCCGGCCAGACGGTCATCAGTGGCGGCGGCGAGGGGGGAGGGGGGGGGGTGGCGAGGCGGCGGGAGACGGGCGGCGCAGGGGTGAGAGAAAGAGAGGCGCCAGTTTTACTCGGTCGCCACAGGAGTGAGTATATTTAGGAAGATTTGGGGGATATTGGGAGTTGGAGTAAATTTTTTACTTCACCATGCTTTTTAAGGATCGGCTAGGTGCGCCGTAAGGAAGTATAATCAATTTTTATAACTTCCTTATGGCCTTTTAGGGGATCGGTTAGAAAGCCTTAGATACCTAAGCTGGGAAGAGGTTGATGAGGGTGCAACAGCACGGCCACCAAAAGTTTTCAGTCAAACTGACTGCTCTCCCCGATGGGCTGAATTAGCATAGCAGGCCACATTCAGAAGGCCACAACGACTGAATCTGAATGTCAGCCACCACGGCACATTCAGTTAAAAAAAATTCCCCATCGTTTCTCATCACTTAACAATAGCAGAACGTAACAGCCCGATGTACTGGTCATATTACGTGGTGGTTCAATTGAGACAACATGCTGGGAATATCCAGGCCTACACTGGAGGTCCGGAACAACTCACATGGTTCAACGACATGGTTCATTAGCAAACTAGAGCAAGGCCAAACTTCTCAGGTTAATCCTATCCCCAAAATGCGACCAAATTCCTAAAACACCATGTTTCTCCAGGTTTTCCGCAAAACGAGAGTTCACCAAACTACCATCATCAGCTTCCTAAGCCATCAGAGCACCTGCACCTGTTAGTTCTAAGAAATGAACACGGAAAGTTAGTGAAATGTATGAAACTTCAGGGATGTTTCAATATGAGCATGAGGTGCATTTCGGACAAGGAAAACGTGATATAAAAAAAAGACAAGGCGATGTGTTGTTTTAAACAAACAGTCACTACTACAGTAGTACTTGGCGAGTGTGCAACATGTTTATTTTCTACCAGTGTCTTGATTGAAGCAGAAAAACGGTAATCACCTGTTGAGGAATAACAAGCTTGAGTTTCAGGCTTGACTAGTGGTAATACTTTAGGAAAAGGAAAGACTATAGTGAGTGGTCTTATACACTATACAACTTCATGCCTAATTTGCAGTTTCGAATTTAATCGGGTCTACTAGCTAAGAAACAAATATACACCCGGCTGAAAGGTGCATGGTAAAACAAACACAAATATTGTCAGCACCACCATCAATACAATATACAAGCTATTGATATAAGACTGCATTGTGAGATGAATATTTTCTATAACAAATGTCAGAAATATCATTAACACTAACATATAATTATGTAACTAGTATTTTGAGTCCCAAACAAAGTACTCATGCTGCTGAAATACCAACCAGAATCAAGCAATGACGGTGTAGTAGGATGCTGGTATATTGGACAATAATTAGTAGTCATTGAGAAAGTACGCACAACATTTATATCAAGTCATGAACTAAATGGGCTGAGTATATGTAAGACGAATACATCATCCTAAACACGTGAATGTATGATACTATATAGCAAGAATGGGTCAAATAAAAGACTTCAACCAAGAGATACATTGGCTGGTAACTTTGTACCTTCATATCTTCTAGCATTTGTCTGCACGAACCAGAACATCAGCTAAAGTTTGCTGTTTTGGGGCACCCTTCTTGCCTGAAAAGAAGTTCCTTTGGTCAAGATAGAAGAACTTGAATGACAGCCACCATAATAACACATAATTTTTTTATAAATGGGTGGCGTCAACATCATAAAATTAGTGCTTCCTGAGAGCATCATTTAACATAATTTTTCTGTTGTTCTAATGTCAGTTTAAGCGGAAACAATGCACTAAAATTTGGCTGTGTGATGAATTATTGATGCAGAGGCCGAGTGGTGTAAACTCTTCCTTCATCTAGAGCTATGAAGTATTGAAGTTACAATGCATAGAGCAGGTTACCAGGAACTCTAACACCTTACTCAACAACACATAGCAACTAATAAGAGTATAAACAGCACAACCCTTATACGGTAGACATCATGCCGTGGTCACCTGGAAAAGCAGGCATCCTTTGATCAAGGTACAAGAACTTGAACGACAGCTATAATATTGACAGGCAACACTTGTAACAGTATATATCCATCTGTACATTGCATACTGAATTGTGCTAGTGACATAACTGATGCATAGAACATGTGCTAGTGACCCGCAATAGCATGGCAGGAGGATATCTTAACTAGTACTCCCTCCGTAAACTAATATAAGAGCGTTTAGATCACTTAGTTTACGGAGGGAGTATGAACTTAAGAGAAATGTTGTAGAGTATTGTGATTCACCTGGAATCTGGCTTGATCCCAGAAATGACGGAAGCACACATGGCAAGAACACATTTGACCCGCAATAGCATGGCTGGATACCACTGGCCAACACAGATGACTGAGCAATGATCCTGTTCCGGCGCATGTCCACGCTAACAGTAACTTCAGCGCCCAAGTTGAGGTACAGCAAGTCAGCGTTGAGCGGATCAATCGCACCAACCAAAGGCCTCTCCTTGGCATCCAGTGACACCTGGTGCTCCAACGCCCAGCGGCCGCTCTCGTCGTCCAGCACGAATGACCTGATCTGGTAGGGCGCCTCCATGGAAACCTCGACATACAGCAGCTTCCCGTCGCTGACACCCATGCGCCTGTATTTGATAAGGTCGCAAATCTCTGCGTGTGATTGGCGAGGAAGGGCGCTGCCGGGAGGCAGCTTGACGTGGCGGAGCTCACACTTGTCACTGAACGGGTCCATGGAGAGGACGCCCAAGCTCACATCCACCCACCACAGACGTCCACCAAAGGCCAGCACCTCGTGATTGAACAAGCGCATCTCGCGCCCAGGCTGCAGCGGAGATGGCCGCACCATTGCGTCCCACTTCCCTGTGTCCGAGGAGAAGCAAAACACCACGAAGCGCCCCTCGCCGTTGAGCTCTAGGAGCTCAACAACGGCGTACCTCTTAGGCGGCCCGTGCCCGCCGTCTGCTTGGGTGAGCAGGCCCGTGGCCGTCTGCAAGATCTCCTTCATGCCCAAGTAGTCCGGAAGGCGGACCAGCTGGCCAGTAACGGGGTTGCACACGTAGCGCACGAACTCCTTCTCGACGGCCTCCTCCATGACCACCTCGGCTTCCTGTTCCGTGGGGCGGGCCAGGTTCAGCCCCGCGGCCGTGTGGGCGCTCAAACGGATCCTCGTAGTCTTCAGGAGGAGATGGCAGTCCTGGCTCGCGGCGAAGATGACGCTGGCGTACACGTTGACGTACCTGCGGTCGGGGTTGCGCTTGCGTTCCTCCGGGTCGTACGCCCGCTCGGGGATGGAGAAGAGAGTGGCCGACGGCGGCGGCGCGAGCGAGAAGGACGCGCCTCGCGTGTAGTTCGGCGTCTCCGAAAAGCGGTAGATCATCGCCCAGGGAGGGTTCGAGGCGGCGGTGGAGAGGGAGCGGCGGATGTGGCCGGGCAGACGGCGGAGCGGGAGCAGCACATCGGCGGAGGCGGAGACGGAGACGGCAACGGCGCGGGAGAGGTGGCCGGAGAGGCGACGGAGAGGGAGCAGCATTTCGGCGGAGGCCGGGGCGGCGATGGATTTGGTAGCAGGCGAAGAGGAGACCGCACCGGAGAGGGTTTTGGGTGGTTTTGGGGAGAGTGTGAGGGAGTGGGGTGGGGTGGAATGGCTGCCGGTCGGAGAAGCCGAGGAGGGAGGGGCGGGCGCTTTGCTCTGACACAACGTTTCGTGCAAGTTTCCCCATCCCATGTGCTTCTCTGCCCGGTATGCTTCCGTTGGATACTGGGCTGCAAGATTTTGGATTATGATTCGTGATCTACGTGAGTGACAGATTGAGACTACTCCTATCATCGACACACACTGCAGAGTAGGACCTATCAGTGCTGATGCAAGATACAGGTCACCGAAATTTTTGAAATTGATTGTGCTGTGCAATACTATGCAAATACCAACAATTTTCGGAAATCTTATTTGGATGACATTCTGTGGGAGAGTAATGGAAAACGACCCCCTTTTGATGGCAGTTTTAGTTCTGAGACGAGATCAAACAACGACAATTTTAAACGGAAATTTGCATTCTGTGACAAAAACTGCCGTGATGTTATGATGAAGCTGTCATTCCTCAAAACTAAAACTGTCAGCGAGATCATTCGCAAATGCCACCCCTCCCGACGAACGTTCGCCAGCTAAGTGGGTCCATAATTTTTTAGAAGGGTCCGAATAACTGCCACACGTGTGGCGTCGATAGAAACCCGCCCGCACGCCTCGTGCGGCATAGACGGGGATCGGCCCGCACGACCACGTCCGAGCGCACAAAAGCACGGCCCGCACGTCCGGTGTGTGGCAACCCCGCCCGCACTGCCCCGTCTGGGCCAGAAGACCGGCTGCCCGCACGACCCAGCCGATCCACGCCTCCGATCCATCCCCTCTCTCGTACGCCGCCATCGTCCCCCACCTCTCGAACCCCAACATCCGTCGCCGGCCATCCCTGGTTGCCATGGCAACCAGGGCAGATCCGTAGGGCGCTCCGACCCCAAACCACACCCTAACCCTTCCCATCCCCAGCCGCCCACTCCAATCCAGCCCTCCAGACACGATCAACTAAAACCAGGTGAAAATTCTCGATCTCGTCCTTCCCTCTCATCCTTAAGGCTGAAAATCTCCCGATCTTGTACTGGGTCCATACTATAGGGGTAGAACACTGCATGGTTCGGTGTATATTCGCAATTGCCAGGCAGAATACACCAGATCTGCCATGTACTACGTTTGAGGTTAACTTAGGTGCCTAGTTTAGGCACTTAAGTAGTTGGGTATGAAATGGATGAGTAGGAATCCCTAAAAAAGGGCAGGAAGGACGATTTTTTGAATGAAGAGGGTGGGAAAAAATAATTGCCACTTGTGTGTAACGACAGTTGCCGCTTGTGTATGATGACAATTGCCACCTATTTTGACCTGTTGCTTGCCATCCCTATCTTCCATGTGCAAGCAGCAGAAGAATACAATTCTTGTGGATTATTGATGCCTTTTTGATCATCCAGTGATTGAGAACATGTCGGAAAAGAATCGAGACGCGGAAAGGATGAATCGCGAAGGTGGCGCTGATGCTTGGGGTTCTCAAAGGCCAGAAACACCGCCTTGGGATGCAGCAGAGTATAGTCAACTCATCTCTGCAGGGCCGTTGCTGCCACTACTAGAACAGTATGCAGGCGTAGGTATGATGCGTGGTAACAAAAAGAAGAGAGCAGTTGCCAACTTCGCAACGATGAAGATGACATTCTACTTATGTCCTACACTCCATTTTTTTGCAGGTTCTTATGACCAAAACACTCTCAGGGGGGGCCCATGGCAAGTTCAGTCACAAGGCGCTAACACTGACATATGTACGGGCAACCAACCTCAACTAGCTAGTATGGCTAATCAAGGTAATGCAAAACCAAAAAAAAACACATATTGCTGTGGACGTGAAAAATGGACATGCAAAAAAACTAGCAAGAGGACTCACGAATTATCACGGGTGAAAATGCAGGGCCTTCATCCAGCACGTGGCATCAGCCAGCACCCATGTACCTGCCATCGACATCATACACAGGTCAGTCCATAAAAAAAGTGAGGTTGCGGATGTCCAATTAGCAGAAGGGGCATAGTTGGCAGCTCCAAATTGCCATGACTGGACTTCTACAATTGCCATGAATTTAAAACTACATTTGCCATCCCTGGACAACTGTTGTTGCCATCAGTGGACACTTGCAGTTGCCATGGAGAAACAACTGCAGTTGCCATGCCAGAGCAACTACAGTTGCCATGTCATCGCAACTGCAGTTGCCATGGAGGAACAACTGCGGTTGCCATGCCGATGCAACTATAGTTGCCATGCCAGTGAAAACTGCAGTTGCCACATCAGGGGCGACTGCAGTTGCCGTGCTAGCACAAACTGCAAATTGCCATGAATTGACCAACCACTACTATGCTTACAGCGTATTACGCTGGTGGTGACACGGCAAACGTCCCGTGGCAAGCTTCACAAATTGCAGGTGGAGCACGACATTTTGGTGTCACAGACCACACAAGATGGCCAAATGCAGCACAACAAGGTAAGGAAAAAAATTGAACCACAAAAAACATCACTACATTTGTTGTTTGTAGTTTTTTGTAGGCAAAACAATAGTTGCCATGTTTGTTGAACAGTACCTGCCATGACTGGACAGCTACAGCTGCCACACATGTCCACACGCAGTCTCGCGGCTTGCTGTTTGAAAATATGTCGTGCCAAATCAATCAAAGATGGTGTGATCCGTTGTGATACACATCTTATTCAACCAAAAAATCTTACTCTCGTGCTTGTTTTTTCTATTACAGAACCTACAACTACAGTGAACAGCGGTGCGGGGACATCTACTGCGGGGAGCTCTGAGCGCACGGAAGACGCGTTCCACCAGCCAGCAGACTGTCATGCCGCAAACAATTTCGAGTCAGAGTCAGGAATGGCAATCATTCCAGCAATGCCGACGAGCACCCCTTTGAACACAAGCACTAGCAACACTCGAGTAGATGGAACTGCCGCCGATACTGAAGCGAATGATGAAACTGACGACGACGCACAAGAGGATGAAGATGGTGGGCAATCCGAGATCGTGGTACCTCAGCCACCATACATTGGGCAGAGATTTGGATCGTTCGCAGAAGCAAATGAATACTACCAGGCATACGCAAAGTTCCATGGATTTTCGGTCAACACCGAGTACCATAGGAAAATTAAGAAAACTACTGAGTACAACAGAGGTGAGATGAGGTGCCACAAGGCACGGAGGAACAAGAAGGGGAAAGGTGTTGCGCCTGTCGTTCCGGAACGAAAGAGAGGCATCATTCTCAAGACGGGGTGCCCTGTCCGGTGTAAGCTAAACGTAGATGGAGCAACATGGGTGGTCAATGAGTATTTTGACGAGCACAACCACGAACTCATAAAGAAGTTCGACCTGGTGAAATTTCTGACCGCCCACAAAGGGTTCACCCCCGTCGAAAGGAAATTCGTAAAGCTGCTACATGATTGTAACGTCGGTCCATCAAGAATGGTACAGATACTATCTCTCATCCACAGCAAAAAGGGGACTCTGAGTAGCATGCCGTACATACCAGCTGACGTCACAAACCTACAGGCCAAGTACCGTAGAGAGAGCAAGTTGGCAGACATAGAGGCCACAATAGCCTACTTCGATGCGAAAGCAAAGGAAGATCCAAATTTCTTCTACAGGATAAGGTTGGACGATGAGGACCGTGTCAGGAACATGTATTGGGTGGATGGTGCTGCAAGGAGAGCCTACAAACATTTCCGAGATTGCATTTCATTCGACGCGACGTACCTCACCAATATGTACAAGATGCCATGCGCTCCGTTCATAGGAATAAATAACCACAATCAGTCGTTGCAGTTCGGATGCGGCCTCGTCCGGAACGAAGACACAGATGGGTACGTTTGGCTGTTCAAGACCTTCTTGGAGTGCATGGATGGACTTGCTCCGATGAACATAATAACGGACCAAGATTTCAGCATGCGTGAAGGCATAGAGGAGGTCTTTCCGTTGGCAGTGCACAAGCACTGCAGGTGGCACATTATAAAAAAGGCTGAGGAGACGCTAGGACCGTTCTTTGCCGACCGTCCAGAGCTGCACAAGGCATTCGAGCTGTGCGTGGACCACAGCTTGACGGTGGAGGAGTTTGAAAGGAGCTGGATGGCCATGACTGAAACACATCAAGTCCAGGACAACGAGACTCTTGTTAGCCTGTGGGAGAAGCGAATGTACTGGGTGCCGGCCTACTTCATGCAGTGCTTCTTCCCCTTTCTGCAGACTACGCAGCGCAGCGAGGGGTTCAATGCTGTTTTAAAGCGGTACGTCAGCCCTGGCAACTCATTGCTACAGTTTGCCAAGCAGTACACAGCTTTGCAACAAAAAATTATGGGATCTGAGCTACAGCAAGAAGCGACCGCAGCCCTAAAGCAGCCAAAATTGCTAACGTATTTACCGATAGAGAGGCAAATGAGCAAGATATACACCAACAAGATCTTTAACAAGTAAGTCAGTTGCATTACAGTCTTATTTGCATAAAAAGCACCAAGTCAGTAGGGGCCTTATAGAGTGCAATGCAGTTGCCATGACATGCAGCTGCCATGTTTAATGAAATACTGTTTGCCATGCTTACTCAGATGCTGTTGCCATGTTAAAATGAAAATTTTGTTTCGGCATACTTGCTCGGGTGCATTTCCCTTGTTGAATGAAGTGCAGTTGCCATGTTTTATGCGCTGTGCTTCCATTGGAGCATGTTGGCATGCAAATGCCAATGTCAAAAAATGCTAAAAAAATGTTATATTGGCGACACATATGCTGAAATGCAGTTGCCATGTTTAATGAAACGCATCTGCCCTTTTTTTGAAATGCAATTGACATGTTTACTCAGCTGTAGGTGCCATGTTTAATAAAAATGCAGTTGCCATGTTTTATGCAATGTGCTTCCATTGGGGAATGTTGGTGTGGAAATGACGATATCCAGTTGAAAATGTA